GTACGAGTTAGTCAAAGTCTCAAACCCTCTTTTTCCCAGCACGTTAAAGGGCACTTGTGCCTTCAATTCCAAGAAAGTTGTTGCTTTTGGAAAATCTTTTGTATGGAAATTTGCCCAAAGGTGCAAGAGTCTGACACATGCCACCTACTTTTTTCATAAGAAAGATGAAAGGGCAAATATATTGTATCCTTGAGGTTGAGGTTGAGGTGTTTATTTATTTATTTATTATTATTGTTATTATTTTAACATGAAAAATTTAGGAGAAGGGAGATTGGTTTTACAATCATTAAAATTAAGGTTTTAACCTTAGTATGCGTGCACCCTATCCAACAAACTAGTGCTGTGGGTGCTTCATTGAGGTTCCTTTGAGACTTCGTGTCCCTTTCGTAGGTAACGTGAGAATGTGCACAGTCCACAACATCTGACTAACCATATCTTGATTTATTGATCTCTTTATTTTTTTGTTGACCAACCATATCTTTACTCTTTAGCATAGGAGAAATAGGAGGAACTACCCGGAAAGTAAAAGGAAAGGAAGGAAGAGAATCTTTATATAAAAGACTCATACTGGTTGACCTTGTTTTTACATTTCCTTCCAATTGCATTGTCTTGTTGAACAAGAAGAAGAGAAGGAAGCAAACACGAAGTCGTTGTATGAAATTAAAAAATTTTGTCTTTGAAAGAGATGTTAGCATAGCTTAATGCTAAAACTGGTATTATAATCTTTTCATGTTACTATAAATAACCATTCATTTTCGTGTTCCACGTTGTATGTTTTTGACTTATTAGCATTGTTCGTGAATGGTTACATGATTATCTTGGTGGTTTCGCATATATAATTTTGAAGAGGGTAGTTGCAGATTTATGAAGTGATAAAAGCTTGGCCTCTAGTTTGGTACAATTGCATATCAAAATGATATTTTATTTTGACTTTGATTGAACAAAATGCTCAACTAAATTGGAAATAAAGTATTTCACATCTGTCGTGTTAATGGTCAGCCCTCATGGAGTTAATTTATAGTTCCTGGGTAGCTGGTAGTTAGCTAGCCCTCATAGACGTTATTCATGGGTAGATGGTAGTTAGCCTTCCACTTCTTTAATTTATGAGATATTTTCATTTTAATCTTGTCTATTATTAACTGTTTAGTATAGCATTTTAAAATTAGTAGTTAATGGTTTCGTGTAAACTAATAAATAAGAATATATATTATTAATAATAACAATTATTAACCATCAAATTAGACGGAACATTTAACCACTAGTTTTAAAATCACTATATCAAATAACTCTGAAGAAGGTGAGAGGGGCCGCAGCTTGGACTGGATTTATCTAACTCGTATCTAAAACCATTTTGAGGTTTCTCCTCGGTCGCGTGTCAAATTTGAGGTTTGTGGGACAAGGGAGGTTGTCGTTCCGTGTACAAATTCTGTAGTCTGTTAGATCTAAAGCTTCAGCGTTTGCTTTAGGGTCGAGGATTAATAGTGTGATATATCCTGCCTTCTCTTTCGGCTACGGCATTGATTCAGTTTGGTGTGTTAGGCGCAACAGTAAAGTTTGTTTAGTCTTTATGCTTAGCAACATTGACATGTGTACGGACTAGCAATTCACAGCACATTTTAGGTTGTCTTTCTTGGATTAGTGAAATCTGACCTGTGGTCGGTTAGGATTTATGCTTACCTAAATTGTGGACGAGGACGGTGGTCGGTGTTGCAAACTAATTTGTGGATGTACCACCTGCTTGGATTTTACCTATACTGCTCTGTATGTGCCTCTACAACCTTATCAAAGATGGATGATAGTCATTCGTTTTCTTGATAAAAGAAGGAATATCTATTGGAATATTACCATCTCCCTGCACGCTAGTGCACGTATTCTTTGCTTATTATTGTTATTGTTGTTGTTATAAAGTAGTGTTTTTTAAGTTATGTCATACATTAAAGTTATTAAAATATATATTGTTGTATATCTAATAATGAGTTATATATAAAAAATAATTTTTTTATCCTTTTTTCAAATATCTTTTCATTTGATTTGATATTTGAATTTAAAATCTGTAGTTGAGAATTCCAAATTCTTAATTTGTTGAGTTACTTGGACAAAATATAAATGTCTTAAATTAATGAATTTTTTAAATTTGTGCTTTAAAAATGTAATTAATTCATATTTATATCATTAATTAATATTAAAAATAACTAAAGTTAATATTAATTTTATTATTAATATT